AATTACACAATGAACAAGAATAATAAATCCCTTATCCCTAGCACAAAAGATCAGCTACATAGAACGAATTCAAAATACATAATCATTCTTCTCAAATCAACCATTATTCATTAGTTAAATAAGAGAAAGAAATACTTACAATTAATCCAAGTTCGAACGTTGAATTCGTAGTACAAGCTTAATCCGAAGAAAAAGAAAACTAATGGAAAATAAAGGTAAAAAGAACAAGAAAAATCGGAGAAGAAGAAGAGGGGGAGGAGAAAGAGATTTCGTGGTGTTCTCGGGACCTAGGGTTCGTCTCCCAGCAGGGGAGAGAATGCCCCCAAACGATTCTAAAACCTGTTATTATAATTGCTGAAAACGCGAGCTCCGCGGCCGCGACTTGATCCCGCGGCCGCGACTTTTTGCGTCTGTCCGCGGAGAAATTTCTGCTGTGCGCGGCTTTACGTTTCGGGCACGTTCGGGCTCGTTTGAAGTCGGAATTGAGTTCCGTTTTTTCCTACGCGTAGCTAACGAACTCCTCTATCCAATGGTGTCAGCTTCCCCACAAGATTCTCGAAAACTGGTTCTCCCGAAGCTTTTGACCATCACACTAGAGACGTTCGCATGCGACTTCGCGCGGCTTCGCGTTTTGGCTCCGTCCGGATTCATCCAAACTTGAAATCCAATTCCGCCTTTTCCAATGTGTAGCCAACAAGTCCATCTACACAACCATGATTGCCCGGTCTATTGTTGAGCTAAATCGACTCCTCACGAGACTTTCGACCTGCACACCAAAAACAAGAAGAAAAACCGGAAAAACACACAAAAACACAAAGAAAACCAAAATGGAACATAACACATAATAAAACACAAAACAAACTAAAAACTCACGAAAGGACCTAAAACGGGGGAAAAAGATTGATAAAACAATAATGAAAAATACAACAAAAATGGGACAAACAATAGGAGGTTGGGATAACTAATTAATTACGTATACATGCTGTGACCATACTTGTTTTATTTTTGATTAATGTTTATTGCATAGTGGTGAGCACCACGGATTTCAATTGTGCTCACCCACCTGCTCTTCATGGATGCAGGTTAGTATTGCGGGCACGGCGGAGGGATGCGAGTGGTGGTCATATCATTGATATTGCTTCCACCTATCTGAAATGATTATCGTAATTATTGCTATGTATGAATATTGGATTATTGAGGATTGGATTTATAAATTAATGTTAAGGAGTTGCTCCTTAGTTACTATTGATGATTGATGATATATTGATGAACCCGTTCGGGAGCTGAAAGTTTATGATTGAGAATATTGTTAAATTTTGATAATGGTTTTGAAAATGAGTAGCGCCTCAAGTGTTTTTAGAAAATAAAATTGAAAAATTTATTCCGAATTTTGACAAATAAAAGTGGGGCGTTACATGAACCCCCGGAAAACGTACCACCATAGCTCACGCATACTCTAACACGGGTGCTAGCCATTCAAATAAGTGAACAACAAAAGGAATTAAATGAAAGAAACAGAAAATTGCAGTAGAGAAAAATGGTGCAGACGTTGAATTGTTAGAGATCACTGTTTTTTTGCCTGCATGATAAATGCACAGACAAAATCCTCACCTGTGAAAAAGCAGTCAATTAATGAGGTGCGTAACTTATGCGATCAAATTCCGAATAGTCGTAAAATTTCCATGACGATATGGCCCTGCGGAAAAATGGCGCGTTATCGTCAATTAAATTATGTTTTGTTCGATTTTGTTATGATTCTTCAATATGCGAGCGAAAAAATGTCGCATCATTGTCAATTATCCGGCGGATATATGCGCAAGTTTTTCGCATACGAGAAAATTATGCGATTGACTTGGATATGCAATTTCCAGAAAATACGAATTCAACAAATAATGCGAATTATATGCGAAAAGTTTTCGCACAGTCATAAATTTGCAAGGTCGATATAGCCCTGCGAAATAAAGCGCATAATCATCGTAAATTATGCTGCATTCAATTTTGATATGCGATTCTTAAAACTGCGAAAGATGTTCGCATATTTGTAAATTATGCGTTTGATGTGGATATGCGATTACAAAAATGCGAAATGTATTCGCATAGTCATAAATTATGCGTCCGCTTGGATATGCGCTGATTCATTTGGACATGCGACTGTAATATCGCATAATCGTGAGTTTTGGGGTGTAAAAGAAGTTATTTGATGGGGCGGTGTGTAAAATAAAGAATAGATTTATAACAGGGTGGAAAAGATTTTGACCTTATTTTTTAAATCTCCAAAATCGTACCAATTATTATTTCAGTTCAGTTCTGGTCGGAGAAAATCACACGATCAAAGATTATTTTTCGGTGTGGTTTTTGGGTCTTATTCTCAGCCCTGTTGTGCCTATTTAATGTAATTTCGTCTTTAATTAAAGTAGAACTTTTTCCGAGTTCGAAACCATGCTTGCCCGAACCAGAGGTAGGCAGTCAACCACACGAGTAAAGTACGCCTCACGTTCAGGAAGGGCAAAACAGACATTACGGCTCATTAATGAGCAGATCTGCTACCAGACAGAAACTGGAGGTCGGCAAATGTCGGTGCCGAAGAGAGATAGTCTTGGTTGAGAAATACCAGTTTTAACCCCATCAAGCATCATTTTCACTCATTCCCCTGTAAAAGATAAAAAAAAATAGAATAAGTTAAATAACTAACCCCTCATTAAATAAAATAAAATATATTAATTAATTAAGTAATTAACTCTGATGTTCCATTTACGCACTGCAAAGCAAATCATAAAAACCTCACCCCTTCTCCCCTTTTCTCTCTCACTAAAATCGGCTGATCCGAATAAGAAAAACCTGTGGCGGGACTTCAATTTCGACGCCATTTTTCCTGTGATTTGATGAAGGAGCCTCCTTGGATCATTCCCGATTTATTCCGGGTACGATTTTCTTTTCAGATTAATGATCTCTTTTCCTCTGTTTTGCTTTCCTTTTTGTAATGGATTTTGACGAGGTATACGTAGTTTTGTCATTTCTTGATTGAAGCTATGGAGAAACGCCATTTGTTTTGTTTATAGGTTTAAAGTTTCTCATTTCACATTTGAATCTCTGGTTTTCTGCATCTTTTGTTTTTTCTTGGGTTGTATTTAGTCATTTCCCCGCTGCTGCGTTTGCTTATTATTCCTTTCAATTTATGATGTTTTGAAAGCTGCAGTGTCCAAGAGTTCTTTGAATGGAGTTTTCGATTTTTTTTTAATCAATATTAATTTGTTGTCATCAATGAAGTTTTTCTATTGATTGGATGTGACATTGTTAATAGTAAGCTGATAGATCATCATTCATTTGCTTTTCTGAGTAATTTTTTTTTTGCCCCAAAATGATTGTATTTTTCCTGTTTGGGTAATTATTTTTCAGCTTTTAATATTAATTTCAACTTTTTGACTATATGCCAGGCTTTCTGATTTTTTCTTATCGTAAACTTCATTTGTTCCACACCCCAACAACATGGACAGTTCTGAGGTTGAAGATAATTTACTCTCCATCGGTGAGCCAAAGGTATCGATACTACTTAGATTAGATACCCGGATTTACTTTGCCTATCTGTTACCACTTTCGGATTTTATATTTTTTCTTCTTACTTCATTTTAGTAATTAATTTAGTTTAGAAATGGGCTGCAGCTTCTCATGATCATTTGTGCAGATATTGCTATATAAGAGTTTCAGTTTCATTCCGATTGCATCATGGTGCAAACTTGCTTTTAATAATTCGAGTGACCAATATGTTTCTTGGCGCAGTTACATGGTGACATGTGCAAGAGCCTGTATGATGTGTATGTGAAAGTGTTGGGCGTATTTCCTGACCTTGAAGCAGCAAGACCCAGAAGTACATCCGGCATTCAGGCATTATGTGCCCTCCACATTGCACTTGAGAAGACCAAGAATATTCTCCAACACTGCGCTGAATGTAGTAAACTCTACTTGGTATGAAATACTTCTTGTATAAGTTCTTATATGAAGTGTTAAAGAATAATGAAAATGAACTCATGTTGTAACTTACTTAAGAATTTCATTAGCTTTCTTAATCTGGACAAGTTAACTTACTTTCGTGCACATTTGAAGATGATAACCTTAGTCTGAACTTGTACCCAACATATGGTTAAAAAGGATTTGACTGCATTATTAGTTTGTGATATTCTGTATGTAACAGGGATTATGCAATTCTCTGTAGTTATGTGTTCATACGAGTGTCATTGTGCTTAATATTCTTTAGATTTGTGGCTTAATTTATTGCTTGATATTTCATCAGGCAATAACTGGAGACTCTGTTGTTCTGAAATTTGAGAAGGCCAGATGTGCCCTAGAAGATGGTTTGAGGCGAGTTGAAGATATTGTTCCCCAAGCCATTGGTGTTCAGGTACTCAATTGTGCTTTGTTCAATTTTAATATTGGTGGAGGAAGTCCTGAGTTACCGGCTTTTTTGAGAAGTTATTAGTCAAGAATGGAGCAAATGATGTAAACTTAAAGTCAGTTCTATGCGATGAATTTATCAGACCAAACCCTCAAGAACCAGTCATTTTTTGTTCTCTCTGTTTTTTTTTTTTTCTCCACTCCGACGAATTAACCATTCCCAACGGCTTTATGTGGTTAATTAACCATTCCCAACGGCTTTATGTGGTTAATTAACCATTCCCAACAGCAAGTGCCTTTTTTTCTCCAGTCTCTGTTTTTTTTTTTTT